CCGCATGGGGGAGGCTGGGAGCCGCTGCAGCAAGTCACTTGAGGCTGTGTGGGTTGAGAAGGAGGAGGAGGAGGTGTGAAGTAGAAGTGAAGTGCAAAGAGAAAAGAAAAAACAGAATGGTGGCAAAGTAAAAGGTCGCGTCGCTTGGAGAGAAAAGAAAAAGGCAGGAAGAAAATCGGCCGGGGAAAGTCGCTTTGGCGCCAAAGTCGATTAGGGCGTAGAGGGTAGCGATTAGGGCGTCGCCGGTCGATTAGGGCGCTTTAGGGTAGAGGGGCCGAGGGAGAGGGTTAGGTTTGGAGATGGGCGTTCTCCTCGCGGCCGGTTCCCGAAAGCGCGTAGATGGAGGGATCGACGTGGCACGAAGACCCGACGTAGACCCGATGTAGAGGACGGACCGATGGGGAAGGGGCCGCAAAACGTAGGCCGAGACAGGAAGCCAAACCCGAAATCGAAATCGAAATCGAAATCGAGTAGCCGATCGAAGAGATGGCCGCGCGCCGAATCGCAGAGCTGAGCCGAACCGTAGGAACGTACCGTGGAGACACAACACACGACACACCCCTCTATGCACCCGTGGGCAGGGAACAAGAAGGAGGCAGGCCAATCCGCTGCAGCAAGTCGCTCGAGGCCGCGCGGGTCGAGAAGGAGGAGGAGGAGGTGTGAAGTAGAAGCGAAGTGCAAAGAGAAAAGAAAAAACAGAACGGCGGCAAAGTAAAAGGCGCGTCGCTTGGAGAGAAAAGAAAAAGGCAGGAAGAAAATCGGCCGGGGAAAGTCGCTTTGGCGCCAAAGTCGATTAGGGCGTAGAGGGTAGCGATTAGGGCGTCGCCGGTCGATTAGGGCGCTTTAGGGTAGAGGGGTCGAGGGAGAGGGTTAGGGTTAGGGTTAGGGTTAGGGTTAGGGTTAGGGTTAGGGTTAGGGTTAGGGTTAGGGTTAGGGTTAGGGTTAGGGTTAGGGTTAGGGTTAGGGTTAGGGTTAGGGTTAGGGTTAGGGTTAGGGTTAGGGTTAGGGTTAGGGTTAGGGTAGGTTAGGGTTAGGGTTAGGGTTAGGGTTAGGGTTAGGGTTAGGGTTAGGGTTAGGGTTAGGGTTAGGGTTAGGGTTAGGGTTAGGGTTAGGGTTAGGGTTAGGGTTAGGGTTAGGGTTAGGGTTAGGGTTAGGGTTAGGGTTAGGGTTAGGGTTAGGGTTAGGGTTAGGGTTAGGGTTAGGGTTAGGGTTAGGGTTAGGGTTAGGGTTAGGGTTAGGGTTAGGGTTAGGGTTAGGGTTAGGGTTAGGGTTAGGGTTAGGGTTAGGGTTAGGGTTAGGGTTAGGGTTAGGGTTAGGGTTAGGGTTAGGGTTAGGGTTAGGGTTAGGGTTAGGGTTAGGGTTAGGGTTAGGGTTAGGGTTAGGGTTAGGGTTAGGGTTAGGGTTAGGGTTAGGGTTAGGGTTAGGGTTAGGGTTAGG